TAAAATGCAAAATAAACGCCGGAAACGACACCGGTGCGATGCTAGTTTTCATTGCTATGACGATGACTGAATTCAGGGGCTTAGAAGCAGAGGGGTGAAAGTCAATTCTCTTCATCGATTTCCTCTTTTGATGACCATGGCTTCACTAACCTATTTCGCACTATTTCTGCTATGCTCTTCTATCACCCAGAACAACAAACGTATCAATAAATGTATTTGCCGTCGAGTAATTAACGAAACAGAAACGCGATGAAGAGAATCGATCAAAATCACTTGAACCCCTGCTTCCAAGTTTGGTTACAAGATTACAACTCTGGAGAGCATTTCTCAAGAAACATTTCAAAAGGTTCTATCAGCTTTGATAAATTCTTTTGAGCTTGAGCTTGAGCTTGATTGACCGCCCACGGTTGCTACTCTGTTATTGCCAGATCCAATAGACGATGCTTGGGACTAGCAATACCAGCGCCGGCCGCGCCCGAACACAAGTCAAGAAAGGAATGGGAAGGATTGTGTTGACATGACACTCGCTTTGATGGAAGCCGAGAACACCTCTGCACTTCCACGAGAAATCACTGGGATGTTGGATAAGAGGGTTGGGTTTGCAGCAGGATTCGTTTTGGTAAACGATAAGTTGAATTGATTTCCTAACGATCATATAACGCGAAGGAGCTTGGGACTAAACCCACGGTCTTCTGCTCAGTAAGCAAAAACGTTTGCCACTAGGCAGACGAGCACCTTTTTAATCACCGAGTTGCTGTTATTACCATGTAGTCATATTAACAAATAAAACGATTGACGAATCTTGAATGTGGATGGGCCTGAGATTAGACTCATGATGTTCTGCTCAGTAAGCAAAATCGGTTGCTCTAAGGCCACCGAGCCCCTCATATCACATAATACCGTTGCTCAAATTTTTGTATCCATTCAAACCCAGAACCAACGACAACAACGAGTTTCGCAAATACACGATACACAAGCGATTTTACCATAAATCTCTTTGATATGTAAGGACCTGGGACCACGTTTTTCTACTCAGTAAGCAGGCCACTGTAACCGACGATCTTTCAAATCCGAAAACTAAAAACTACGAAAAAGTACTTAGGCCTTCATTAAGTTCCACTTTCACGCGACGTTCAATGTTTCAATTTGCTCTTTACGCATTGTTCAGGCTATAATGTATTTACAATACCAACAGTTAATGAAAACAGAGAAAAAGAAACTTAGGCAGTCTATTAGAAAAGTATAAAAACAATGGATAAATAAGTAGGAAAACAAAACTACTTTATAATTAAAAATGCAATGCATGAGCGTTAGTTTTGGGATCATTTTAGTGTTAGAGTTATGTTAGCCTTGACCCGTAATCAACCCTGCGGCCCCTCCAACACTAGTTGCAGACAGTGGTTGTTAGATCATGCAATACTGTAACTATAATAACTATACTACTATATTCAAGGTATGATTCGTCGAGTTTATACAACTCATTGTTTCAATTCAGGTAAACTATCTATCAAACAATTACAAAATCAACCTCAAAATTACAATTATATGCCAATCACAGACAAGCGGACATAACACTCGCAAGTTGTTAATCGAACAAGCATTTAACAGTCAATTTGAAAGTATCTTAGTTGGTAGTACCGTCACCTGTGGCACACATAGTCAATTCCCTTACGTTTGACGTTTACACACTACCGCCATCTATTCAGCGTACTATCCACCACAGTGCACTCAACAGATGGCGGTAATGTTTTAGCAACGATGTTTTACAGTGAGAAATATTCAATGTGTTATGCCTGTTTGTCTGTGTGCCAATACTACGTTTCTGATATAAACAACTTTGAAGAAAACAAAAGCAACTGCAGAATGAAACCTGACAAATTATCGCCAATCCTCTCCTTCTTGGGCAGGGCGGTTTGCAGAAGGGTTCGTTTTTGGTGTCAAACTATTGCCTTGTGCAATTCTAAGCGATGTACCAGAGAAAATCGCCTCCAAACTCCAAAAACACATGCTCGTCGAAGAGGAATTAAACAAGGTTGTCCTTTGTCTCCATATATTTTCAACTTAAGGGGGTATTCCCGATCTTTTTTTTCAAAAAATCAAATTTTTTTTTATCACGTTTTTTTGTACTTTAGACTATATACTTTCATCCCCCCAAGCCGTTTTCCGATCAGCGAATTCGGTGTCCAGGCATAGCTGACTAATGGTAAGAACCCCCAAATGGTTTTACCTAAAGTCAAAACTTTAAACGCGTTTTTCTCGAAACCACATTTTTTTTATCGGGCGAAGATTTTTCTCAGAAACTATAAGAGATATTGACTTGAATCTTTGCGCATTTTGTTCCTTATTAAATTCTTTGGAGCTTCTCGCACTTTCAGCCAAAAATATTAACATTTAACATTGTTTGAAGCACCTTAAAGCTGCAAAAAAGCGGGCTAAAAATCGCCTGTTTTTTCATATGGCCGCCATTTTGTTAATTTGCAAGATTTTTTGCTGCCAACGGGAGAAGCTCCAGAGAATCTTATGCAGATTATAATTTCATCACGAAATCTGTTTCAGATGAAGCCGTTCCAGAGAAAAGTCTTCGCCCGTCCAGGCGTTTGCGGCGAACAGGGGTCTGTTTGCCGCCATTTTGTGACGTCAATAATGTCTTTTTTTAAGTCGAAAAAAATTTATTTGTAAACTTTAATGTTCAATAAACAAGAATCCCAAAGAGTTAGGCGCATTACTATTCATTTTCCTTGAAAAAAAATAATTGAAAAACAGGCCGAAAAAAGGCAAAAGATTGGGAATACCCCCTTAATCATGGAAGCTGTATTGGAATCTGTTGCTGATGAAGTTCCCAACCGTATACTGAACCAGGAAGGTAGAATCACACTTCCTCTTATCCTTGCATTTGCCGACGACATCATTATTATCGTGGACAATAAGGAAGACCTAGAGGTTATTCTTTCTAAACTCAAAGAATACCTAGGATATGTTGGCCTGAATCTAAATGAGGACAAATGTAAGATTTTAGTTAGGGAATCAAAGGGGGAGGCTTTGACTGAGATCCAGATTGGTGGGTGGTATTATAAAACCACTGAGCCTATGCGGTACTTGGGTGTGTACCTTACAGCTAAACTAGAACGCTGTGAGGGCTCGTTGTAGGAATGCTGTGTGAGTTTCAAGAGCCGTGATGGACTTCTTAAAAAAGTACAATCCATCCTGGCAGCTGGGTCGTGTGATTTATGAGTCTGTTATAGCTCCTGCCATGATTTTCGGGACTCAAGTTGCTGTTTTGACGAAGTACAGTCGAACGTCTATCCTGGGATACGAGAAACAAGTGGTGCAGAATATGGCGAACTTGTGCCAAAGTGAAAATGGATCTGTTGCTAACGCATCCGTGAATCGTTTGCTTGGTAAAAAGCGAATCACAAAAAAGGTCAGCATTTATCAAATGCGCTGGTGGGGGCATGTTCGGAGACGAAACCGTTCTCATCCCCTTCGATGTGCTGCGCGGTTGAGAGCTCCACAGTTACGAGCTTCACTTGGTGGGACAGTGTTCATCAGTCGATGCAACGTTTTGGAGACCTTACCTACGATGAGTGGAGCAACTCGCGCTAGATAAGGGAAAATTTTATAAGAAATTAATCGAAATATACGATCTCGACGAATCTGATGGTAGCGACTGGGGTAGAATCAAATACTCTTCTTCGTTTAATTTTTCAATACTAAACACATTTTTTTCTAGAGGTGATCCCTGAAGAAGCTTGACTACCATGACTACACTATCGAACTGCTTTACAATCCTCACAGCTTTGATCAATTCTTTGCACAGACTTTCTCTTTTGATAACCACAAACAGATTTTGAGCTATTTTTCCACATATTTCGATAAATAGCGTCCAAAACGTCAAGTGCAACAGGCAAAGTTTTGCAGTGGAGTTATTAACGAAAGAGAAAGTCGATGAAGAGAATCAATCAATGCAGATAGGACCTTTTGAAATATTTATCTAGACTTTGTGTGATCGTTGGGGGCGTGTGGTTCTGAATATGGCAATGAGTGTGCAAAATGTTACGCAATTGCATCCTCCCTATTCGCACACGCCCGAAGATCAGAGGTGAATGCCACTTCGACATGTTTCGTGTAGAAACGATTCTCTGATGACTGTGTTGAGGAAGCAGCGTATTCATGTACGTAATCTGGTGAATATGTTTGATAATTCGACACTTTTGGTCAATGCTTGACATTTACCACCTTTTCAATAGGATTCTTGTTGAAAATAAGCAGTCGGAAGCATTGTTATAAATATTTCTGATCGATTAGTGATAAAATTATTGAAATTGGTCCAGGGGCAGCTGAGTTATTAACATTTAAAATCTTTCACAATTTCGTTACATATTCCATTTTTGATTTTCACAAAGTGTATCCCCATATAGCAATCACAGACGTAGGCCTACGTCAAAAATGTTGAGAAAATTGGTTAAATATTTGTAATAAAATTATGCAAGTTGTAAAAAATCTAGAGATTAAATGAAAATTTCGGTGGGTTCCTTTAACGAAAATCAAGCAATATCCATTATGAAACTGTTAAAAAAAACCTGCGGGCAAACATTTTCCCTCCCAACAAAATATAAATCGGCGCACACGTCTTCTTTCAATCTCACATGAATGGGAATAAGGAGCACGACCAACCAGCAACTTTTGAGCTTCGTCGTGCACACAGAAGTGATAAAACAAACTTTGATGGAAAAGTTACCAATGCAAAAAAGGAACTAGCTTAAGCTCTGTGCACCAACTGCAGCTCCGGGGTGTGTTGTTTGAAAAGCTTTCCCCATCCTACCGATGTGCAAGGTATTGTATACCTACTACTTTTTTTTTCTAGCATCATCCGATTGTGTGACATACATTTTCGCATATACGAAATCAAACTTTGTTGCAACGAAGTTGTTTACAGCAGATTAAACAAAACCACAGGAAGTAAGGCTTTCTTTTTCGATCTACGTAATGAGGACAATCCCTTCTTGCTTTCATTGGTGAAATATGAACCGATGTCTGTTATTAATTAAACACAATAAAATAAAGGTAAGTAGAACTTTCTTGATTTATAATACTTCATCCGATTGAATGATATTTTTCTTCCATCCTTGCTTGCTTGTTAACCATTTCTCACTTGCACTATTACATAAATGTCTGAGGCCTTCACGTTTTCCTTTTTATCCAACTAGTTTAGTCAAACATAATGGAATTTAAAAAAAAAAATAAACAAGCTAAACCGGAAAACATAAACTGTGTTCATGCGCGCTGCCATAAACTGTTAGTATCCTTGATTTTGTTTTGCATTCAATTTTTGCACTTATAAATTCACTAAAATAAATTTCTACAACGACCTTTTGTCTTTTGTTATGAGACATGCTATCCCTCGTGGGCATCCAGAGCGAAGAATATTTATATACGTGTTTGTGTATGTGTAGGTGTAGGTTATGGGTATGAATGTATGCCCTGCATTTGCTTAGTTTGTTCTCAACTGGTAGTCGCCGTTCTGGGTTATGTAGCGCACCCAAGGCAAAGCCTGGTAGCCGCTCTTTTCGATGATCTTCAGATAGCGAACCTGTTGACACGAGACACGAGACACGAAATATGTTATGTGGATTTAGATAAACACCTTCACGGCAAAATAAACATCTCACCTGAATTCCAGACGTCGTAAAGTACGGGATCTCGAACTTGACTTGAATTGGCGGCTTGCCTTCCGAATCTTCACATTCAACACTGGGAAGTCCAAAGTGTGCTCGCATCAGATATTCCTTTCCACCCTGCAACGAAACCGACGAAAGTTAGTTCCTTTCATTCAAGAAATCCAACAAAAATTAACCAAAAACTTACCGGGAACGACTTGATCGTCCAGGTGATGGCATTCTGCTCCGGTGCGTACTTGACGCTTCCGATCGTGGTCTTGAACTTGGGTGAATCGGCATCGGCCGGCACCGGAATGACAATTTCCACATTGTTTGCCGTCGAACGGCGCTTGAATTGCGACTTGGCCTTAATCATGTACTCGACCCGGCTGTGGGCGTGCCGTTCGATTACCGATTCAATCCAGATCAGCGGTTTCACGTGCGTGTTCAACCGGTAGGACATCAGCTCAAACTCGCCGTCTGGTGGAATGAACGAAATGGTGCGATCGTTCTCGAAGCGGGACAATCGCACGCACTGATGGAATTTGACGTCCTCCAGTTCCACGGATTTGGATTTGCCACGACCGGTACTCTCGAACAGCACCTTATCATTCAAGCCCAGCCGCAGTTCCGGCATACCGGACAGATAGACACGCATCTTGATTGCTCCCACAATTTCACTGCGAAGGACATTACCGTTGGCATTGGCCAGCAGGTTAACACTTTCGATCACATCCAGGAACACTTCGTTCTTCCTATACTTGATGCCCTCCGAACGCCACGAAACGGCATTCGTCACGGCCATCGGAATACGCGGCTGTATCTCCAACTTATGACCCTCCTGGGTAATGTATTCCTGCAGGATCTTACTATCTGTTGTTTGCGGATAGCCGAAATCAATCAGCTCATCCAACAGTTCGTAGATGACGACAAAGTTGTCACGAATACTTTCCTCCTCAAGCTCTTTAAAATACTCCGTAAACACCTGAACCACTTTGTGGAGGAAAACAAACACCAGCGCGATGTTGGCATTGCTCCGGGTCACCGAAACTAAGTACAGATTGTTAGTCTTCACGTAGGCAAACGTGCACTCCGGTGTCTGCAGGATAGGCGTTATCAAACCTTCCTCTTCCTTCTCCATCAACAGTGGCATGAACTTATCAACCACACCCATGTCGATGTGGCCACGATAATTACGGGAAATCAGCACCTTCCCTTTGGCGTCCAGTATGAAAATTGCCGACGAAGACATTGCGCTACAAGCTTCTTATCGCTCCGAATCAAAATTCACGGTCACACCTGGAATAAAAACAAGGATCCAATTAAAATTACACCTTGAAGTCGTGTTTATTTACATCCATCATTCGTCTCGCCCTCTCGCCTATCCTAACGTTCCCGATCTCTGACTTCCAGCACCGCAAGCGAAAGAGCAATGGAAAACGAATGACAAATGGAGAAAATTTACGTCACCACTTTTGGGGCTCGGTTTTTTATGGAATCCTCCGGCCGGAATACGTTCAAGACGTAAAATTTACTATCTTGCTGACCAATAGCTTAACTCTTCAGATCTAGCACTAGTTTAAATGTCTTAAATAGATTTAAGTGATCAAATTTAGTCAACCAATTAGGCTGGACTCGAAACCCTATGGGACGGCTAAAAGCTCACTTAAACAACACTGAAACACACTGAGAGCCCCCAATTCATTACCTTCACTAAATGCACGATATGAAGAACCAATAAATACACGATTTAGCCGTCGAAAAGCTAAATTACAACGAATAAAACACAAAAATTACAGCACTGTCGTCATTTTTCACTCTTTTTTTTTCTCTCGGCGAACACGATTGACGAACTGCTTTGCTGTCAAAAATTTTATCCAGCTGCAAATGTCAAACAGAGGAGAATCGGGAAAACAAAAATAACGACGAGGGCTAACCTCGCGTTCGGCCTCCTGGCGGTGAGCACGGCAGAATTTCAGCACTGTACACTCAAAAAAACATTAAATAAAAGAATGCTTAAAAATATGCAAATATGATCACAAAAGAATTAAAATTAATAAAAAAATATTAAATAGAATCAAAAGTTAATAAAATTCAAACAATGAAACAATCAAGATTGTTTATTGTTGTTTTACATCAACAGGCTGGATGAAACCCCATTATATTAACCATATAAGCCAAGGGGTAAAACAGGTCCTCATCATGAGCAATTTTAGAGTAGCTTTTGAGGCACATCGAGTAACTCACACAGCTCAGTGAGCAAGATCCTTCTCATTTGCATTCTCACTTTTTACATGACAGCAACATATGAAGATGCGAAGCCGAAAAGCTGCTGTCAAGCAAAACAACAACAAACAACCGGCTTGATGTGGTAGAAAAACTCGATCCGTCTGACCAAATACTCCAGATCCGGCAAATTATACGTACACCGCCGCCCTCCAATACTCGTCTAAGCGATCCCGTTCCCATCACTCAACAACCTGCCGTTAGATTAAACTGCGATCGTGTAATGGCCCGTTTTCTGCGATACACCACCGAGATTCTGCTGATGATGGTACAGCACGGAACAACCATCCTACTGCTATCTCTCTGAGATGACCACGTTGGTCATGACGAGAGGAGCAACACAATAGTTGGGTAAAGAAGAATTGCATTATAACACACCATCCCGAATAGAAATTGTAATGTAAATTGTAAATCAGCAGACATTTTCAATACATGAATCCCAGTCGGCGCCGCCGGGATGTTCTGAGGCAAAAAATCTCTGATCACGCCTTCCTTCGGATGGGAAGTAAAGCCGTTGGTCCCCGGTTCATGAGTTGATGGGTCGATAGGTAGGGTCCAGATGTGGGAGCTGCCTTCCTGGCACGTCGGTAACATTGGTGCTCAGCACGGAAAACAAGATCAACGGAAAAAACAAACCAAAGGAAAAAAAAAATCAATACATTAAATTTTAACGTGTATTGCTGTACCCTTAATGTATTCAGACTTCAGTGTGACGTACAAGTACATAAAAACGAGGGGCGATTCACTTGTGTATTTTCGATTCAGGCCAACGTATTGATGAACGTATTGAAGTATTTTTTTATCGAATAAACGTGTATTTTGTGTAATAATGTATTTTTTTGTATTTTTTGAATATATGTATTTTTTTGTGTATTAGAAAAATAAAAGTGTATTTTTATGCATTAATGTATTGAAAATCAGATATAAGTGTATTCTGTCATTTCAGTGTTTATGTTTACCACTCGAACCGAGGATCAAACGGATCAAACTCACAATGTTGACGTTTTGTTTGACAAATGCACAACACACGTGAACTTTAAAATACCCACTGATGAGTAGAATTTCACCCATTTTAAAGAAAAGAGGCTTAACTCATTAACTACGTAGACAGTTTTTTGGGTTTCCTCGCCCCCCTCCTTATAAACCTGCGTAGACAAATGTCCAGACAAAATTTTTAAAATTTGTATGGGCCGCGAATAATTGTCTACGTAGATTATGAACAGGCGCTTACCTCGCTCATTACGCATTAATAAGCATCTGTTACATTACGCTACATCTGTTACATTACGTATTAATGAATTATTGTTACTTATTTGTGGCTCACAACTACTCAAAATGTTTTTTTTTATTTAATAAATGATTTAAGGCACTTTTCTTAAAAATGGGCGAAATTCTACTCATTAATGCATTGTTTTGTGATTCAAGCTAGGATTAAAACACAAAATAATAAATTTACGCATTTTGTTCGAATTCAGCATTTTGATTCTACATATTTTAGATTTTTTCGTGCAAATGACGAATTATCGTGTATTTTTATTATTCGTCGAATATTTTTGTATTTTTTTCCGAATTTTGTATTTTTTTGCATTTTTTTGAATAATGACGAGTAATGATGAATTTTTGTGTATTTTTTTCATTAACGTATTTTCGATTCATTCTCGAGAGCAGTTAATTGCCCCTCGCATAAAAATTAAAGAGCCTGAATTTATAAAGAGGTGACATCTTATCCATTTGACAGGTCTTCTGCTCGATTGGAATGACTTTTCCTATGACTTTGACAGACAATCGATTGTTCCAAGTTTGACATGTCGTCTGACATGTCGTCTCTTTGTAAATTCATGCTCTTTAATAAAAATACATTAGCCTCAAACGTTACATCAGAATCAAACGTCTTGACGATGTAAAATTTGACACGATGTAATTTGTTGCGCGCATAAAACATCAGAATACATCCAATGACAACAGAACCAAACGTTACATTAGAATCAAAGTTCATCACGATGTAAATTATTGTCCCTCGGTCCCTCACCGCATGCAAAGTTTGTTTTGTTCAAGGGGGACGGTTCTATCTACGATGCAGAAAAGATTGTGTTTAGCTGTGGCTAGCGGCACGCACGCTGAGTAGATAGAAAGAAGATTGATGACGATTCTGAAGATTTCCTGCAAAAAGATGATGCGCGATGCAAGTAGATGCGAGAAATGAAAGAAGATTTTTTGAAGATTGATTCGCTAGTGTGAGATTTGTTGAGCATCTAGACTTGAGATTTAGATGTGTCGCCCCCCTCGGTTTTGTCCTGAGTCAGCACTACACGGCAAATGAGAACGACCCAAATTTGAGTTTAGTTCACTCATAAATCGCAAAAAGTGCAGGAACTCAGTTTTGAGTTAATTTCCCTCATGTTTTCCAGGTTTTTCCAGGAAAATTTTTCCGAATATGAGAACAGTAAAGATTGGATTCTCTGGATTTTCGTCAATTTTTCTAATTTTAGGGCAGATTTTTGAGGTTTTCCACAGGAAAACATGCGGCAAATTTACTCATCCTGCACTTTTTTCGATATTGAGTACACTGTACTCAAATTTGCGTTGATCTCATTGGCCGTGTACAGTTTTTTTTTTCGCAGTGGGAAAAGTTTGATTTTTTGACGAATTAGCCCGGGAAAGTGCTGATAATGTGTCCGTCGCGAGTTTTGGTGGCAATTCGATGTTTTTCAGGTAAGTTAATTCGAATTAATGTAATGTAATGTAATTATGTTTTTTAGGAAAGTGCACCAGTCCGAAGCCGAATCCTGGAAGGGAGTCCAAAGCTGGATCCCGACGGGGAGTTTGAAGCCGGATCTCTGCAGGTTAGTGAATGTGTTTACTAAAAGCAAAAATAAAGTGGAAGTGGACCCCGATGGAAATCCGATGACGGATTTTTTTTTTTTTTTATATCTTTATTAAGGAGACTTTCAGCCGTTGGCTGGCTCGTCTCCGAACCCGATGATGGATTCCATAGACGGATCCCCATGACGGGTTCCGTAAACGGATTCCGTAAAAGGACCCCGATGGAAAACCGAATACGAATCCCGATGGGAAAACCAAATACGGATTCTAATGGGGAAACCGAATACGGATCCCAATGGGAAAACCGAATATGGATCCCGATGGGGATACCGAATACGAATCCCGATAAAGAAAACCGAATACGGATCCTCCGAGGGGAAACCGAATACGGATCCCGATGGGGAAACCGAATACGGATCGCGATGGGGAAACTGAATATGGATCCCGATGAGGAAAGTACAAGTAGAGTACAAATAATTTGTTGAACTAATTGAGGTTTTGCCAAGACGGTCCTCCAACATAATATGTTGGACGATGGAACGGTTGGTGTAGCAGCCACCGCCATAGATGTATTCGAGCAGGTATAGTTTTTGTTTGGTTGTTCTTTCTTCTTCCTCGCATTTCAAGCGGCACATTAGCTTATTGCGTGCTCTCAACTTAGTGTTCTAGATGCACTTCTACAGTTATTAAAGCTGGGTTTAGATATGGCAAGTCAAATGATCAACTCAGTTGAATTCAATTGGCTTGAAAAGTTGAGCCTGGTTCAACTTTTTTCAATTCAAGTGAGTTGATCAAGTCAGTTGAATGGCATGGTTTACACGTTCAATTCGCGTTGAAATCAGTTGAATTCAACTGACTTGATCAATTGACTTGCCCTATCTAAACCCAGCTTAATTGAGAGCTTTCGATGCCTGTATCATTTTTGCATTAGTATAATTGTGTGGCAAGTACAATCATACCAAATATTATAAATTAACAATATGGTTCACTCTTCCATTATCCCCAAGACACGATTTTTCCCGACACTAGCGGCTCTAGTGACGCGAAAGGTGACTAGTACACTGTAAATTGAGCATAACAAGGCAATCAAAAACAACTCACTGTTGAGTAAAATTTAACCACACGGTAAGAAAAAAATAGTCAAAATTAAGTTTATATCTCAAGCGCCGCCGGGATTTTCTGAGGTTCAAAATCTTTGATCACGAAGGGTGGGTGTGGAAGCTGCTTTTCGGGTGTCGGTAGCATTGGTATTCAGTACGGAAAACAAATCAAGGAAAAAAAGTTTATTTCATCCAACTACACGAAACGAAAATCAATTATTTAATTCATGTGTTTCACTTATACATTTTTGCCAAAGCATCAGCCTTATACATTCCATAAGACAAACCACATAGGTCCTATTAGAATGCATAAAAGGTATGTGTGACCACTTATACATTTCATTTAACACATGATCTTTATTAACTTTTTGCAAGGCGTCTGCTTATTAGTTGACTTATACATTTTATGAATAATCAGCAATGGAAATTTGCCAAAAGGTATAAGAAGATTTCTATCCGTGTAGGTACTATGTGGGAAGTCAAAAGTAAGTAAAGTCCCATGTACTCAATTGTTTTGTTGTTTTTGACATAATCCACATCCAGAGGGCCAGTCACTTTCGAATATATGGGAATGTTAGGAAACCATTTGGAAATGCATGAACATTTTCAGTTTTTATTCATTATCGTCTTTAAGGC